ATGGCTGCAGACGCCCCACCCTCGTAGTTTCCTTCCAGGAGCTGCGGTGAACCTGACCGCGGTCACCCCAGAGAAGGCCATCAAAGTGGCAGCCAGTGACTTCCGGCAGCAGCTCCTGGAGGACGGGTGCATCGCGCTCTTTACTGGAAGGTGGCGGGAGCGGGTGGCAACCACGCGTTGGCTCACCTGTCAGCAAGTGTGTAAATGTGCATAGGTGGCTGAGCGCTGGTGTGGTTTGGCAGATGGAAAGTGATTTCTAACCTGGAAAGACAGGCCGTATAGGATCTGTATGCTCCATAATCAACCAGCAGACGAATTTTTTTTTTTAATAAATTATTTATTTTTGGCTGCGTTGGGTCTTTGTTGTTGCACATGGGCTTTCTCTAGTTGCGGTGAGCAGGGGCTGCTCTTCGTCGCGGTGCGCGGGCTTCTCATTGCGGTGGCTTTGCAGACGAATTCTTTTTTCAGTTTTATTGAGGGCAACTGATGTTCAGCGCTGGGTACCTTTAAGGTGTTCAGCCTGACGACCTGACATCCATATACTGCAAAATGATGTTAGTTAACACCCATCCGCTCATGGAGTTAACAAAAATGTTTTTTTTTAAGAGTTCTTTTATTTTCTAAAATATTTATTTATTTGCGCTGGGTCTTAGTTGTGGCTCGCCGGCTCCTTAGTTGTAGCTTGCATGTGGGCTCTAGTTCCCTGAGCAGGGCTCAAACCTGGGCCCCCTGCATTGGCAGTGCGGAGTCTTAACCACTGGACCGCCAGGGAAGTCCCCTTTTGTTTTTTACAAAGATGTGTTTCTTGTGATGAGAACTCCTGGGATCTGCTCTCTTAGCAAACCCTCACATACACAGCCGTGTCGTTAACTCCAGTCTCCATGCTGTGCATCATGTCCCTAGGACGCACTGACCTTGTAACTGCAGCTCTGCACCGTTTCACCCAGTTCACTCAGTCCCCATCTTCTGCCTCTGGGAACCGCAAATCCAAACTCTTCTTCTATGAGTTTGCATTTTTATAGATTCCACGCATGAGTGAGATCATATAGTAGTTGTCTCTTTCTGTGTGATTTATCTCACTTAGTGTAATGCCCTCAGGGTCCATCCAAGTTGTTGCACATGACAAGAATTCCTTCTTTTTTTTAAATGGCTGAGTAGTATTTCATTGTATGTAATAAATAAATAGATATACACCATGTCTTCTTTATTCATTCGTCCATCCATGGACACTTTGGTTGTTGCCACGTCTTGGCTACTGTAAATAATGCTGCTATGAACGCAGGGGTGCATAACTCTTTTTGAATTACTGTGTTTGTTTTCTTTGGGAAAATACCCAACTTAAACTCCCACCAGCAGTGCATGAGGGCTCCCTCTTCTCCATGTCCTCCCCAACTTTTGGTATTTGGTGATGGCCAGTCTAATTGGTGTGAGGTGGTATAGCTTAGAGGTTTTGATTTGCATTTCCCTGATGATTAATTACACTGAGCATTTTTTCACGTATCTGTTGGCCATTTGAATATCTTCTTCAGAAAATGTCCATTCAGGTCCTTTGCCCATTTTTAAATTGGATTATTTGGGATTCTTTTTGCTATTGAGTTGTATGAGTTCTTTGTATGTTTTGGATATTAGCCCCTTATCAGGTATATTTTTGCAATTATTTTCCCCCCATTCAGTAGGCTACCTTTTCATTTTGTTGATGGTTTCCTTTGCTGTGAAGAAGCTTTTTAGTTTATTTTTGCTTTCCTTGCTTGTGCTTTAGGTGACCGATGTCAAGGAACTTCTCCCGCTGTTGGGAGTTTTATGATCCCAGGTCTCACATGTAAGTCCTTAATCCACTTTGATAGTTTTGTGAGTGGTATAAGATAGAGGTCTAGTTCCATTCTTTTCCATGTGAATATCCGGTTTTCCCAGCACCGTTCCTTGAAGAGGCTGCCATTTCTCCATCGAGTATCCCTGGCGAACATTAGGTGACCATCTATGCAGGAGTTTATTTTCCCAGCACCGTTCCTTGAAGAGGCTGCCATTTCTCCATCGAGTATCCCTGGCTTCCCTGGCAAACATTAGGTGACCGTCTATGCAGGAGTTTATTTTCCCAGCACCGTTCCTTGAAGAGGCTGTCACTTCTCCATCGAGTATCCCTGGCTTCCCTGGCAAACATTAGGTGACCGTCTATGCAGGAGTTCATTTCTGGGCTCTGGATTCTGGTCCATCTTTCTTTGTCTGTTTTTATGCTGATGAATTGAAACAGATCAACTGCAGACACTTTGTAGTTCTTTCTGTGCTTCCCGTTGCCCCAGTGACAGTTGTTGGGGGATCAGGAAGGAAGCAGTCCTGCAATGGGTTGTTTCATGGTCCTGGTCTCAGCCTCCCTGGCAGCCTGTTTTAAATTTAGTCTCTTGTCATTAAGGAGACTGAGCTTGACTACTTACCCAGTGGGGTGAGTGGGAGCCAGCCCAGGGGGACTAAATACCTAGGGAGGGAAGACGGGCCAGGGTGGGGCAGCAGGGCTGGCCTGTGGCCGAGGGAGCCTGACGCCGGCCCACGGGGCGCAGCGGAATCTGAGGCTGGAGATGCTCGCCGGGTGTGGAGCTGGGCTGTGCCAGGCGGTGGTCACCTGTCCCCTGGAAATGCTCAAGATTCTGCTGCAGCGTGCTGGGCGCCTGGGTGAGGCCTCTCCCACCTTCGCGCAGGATCGATAAGGGGCTGTCAGAACAGATTTCCCCACGTTCGCACTCATCCACCAGACTGTGACCCAGTCAGCGCTCCAGGTCAGTAGAAGTCTTTATTTTGTGGATTTCAACACCTCCAGCTGTAGGACAAACAGCAGGGATGAGACTCCGTTCAGGAGGGGGAGAGAATGTTTCCCTGTTACCTCTGTCCTGCTGCCTTAACATTTAGGCCTGATTTCCTAAAGATTTTAAGCAACGTCAGTGGCCTGCTCATGCACACTTCAGTGTTGCTATGGAAGCTGGCCTTCCGTGGGAAGGCAGTGAAAGGGAGAAGAGGGCCATTCCTATTCTTTAGCTTTTCTCTGGAAAAGGAGTTTGGCCCTTTCCTAAATCCGGGTCCTCTCAAAGACACAGTGGTCAGGTATCAAAGCATCTATCAAGGACAGGGGTGTGTCCCATGAAAGGAGGCCAGCGGGGGGCACAGAGGGTGTCTCCCCAGGGCGAGGCGTGTCAGCCACGGGACTGACACAGCACCTGTGAGGCCTTGGGTGTGCGTCTCCCCTCCAACCAGCTTGGCCACACATGCTGAGCTGGAGTTTGGCCAGGTTTCCCGGCTGGATCAGACCAGCCTGAAGCAAACAACTGCAGAAAGAGTGAAGTCCAGACAACTGGAAGCCCCTGCTGTGTTTTGATCTGTAAAGGGTAAGGTTCTGTCACGTTTCGTTTTTCATCCTGGACGAGAAGTCTTAGTACTCCTCCAACACTCAAAAAGAAGTAAAACTCAGGATACGGATGGATGGGTAAATTATGTACATCTAAGGCAGACAATGCGGAAAATAATGTTTACTGATTGACCACCTTCTTAAAGCTACTCGTTTGAGACCTGTGCCTAGATTTCTACCCTATGAAATATGGTAAAAGGGGCAGCAAGTACCTTCTTAGTATGCATTGTTGCTCTGCTGGATACCAGTCAAAATTGAGGCAAAAGAAGTAGCTTCCTTTTAGGGCTTAAAATCTAGGCCAAGTGTCTCAAACACTGAGAATTTAAAAAATTAATATTCACACAACTTCAGTGCATCTAATGCCGTGGTCATTAATGAGACTCGCCCACATTCAAAACGCTTGCATCAATAACCAATTTTCAGGGGGAAAACTCGGTTCTGTTTATTAGATGCTTAACTCATCAGATCATGTGCCCTGAAATACTCCACTAAAAAGGGTTGACGTCTGAAGAATCTAATTCCATAAAATGGGACATGTTCGCCTAGTCTTGGAATTCTAGAGAAAGGAGGCACCCCTTAAGTCTGAAGGGCAGTTTTTGAACAAAGATAATTTGCTGGTCTACAAATCACGCAGAAGATATACGGGGACTCCTGTGTCCCAAAGTACAAGTCACGTGAAACTATGCAGATAAGTTTAGAGACGGTTGAGGAATGGAAGAAAGATCAAAAACACAGTTTTAACAGGAGGATAAGGAATTGGCGGAGGAGGGGGTCCTACCACAGTTTCCTATAAAAGCAAGCCGGGCAGGCAGTGGCCGTGCCCTTGGGAAGCAGCCTAAGCAGGAGGGACATCCTACTAGATAATACAGGCCCGAGAGAGAGCTCCCTGGAGCCAAGAACTGATGTCCTCACCTTAGGACAACCCTCAGCTCTAGGAAGGGCGGGGCCCGAGGGGCTGCCTTCCCTCCCCACAGCCCACTGCCAGGGTTCCACTGCCAGCCCTGCCCCGCGGGGCCCCCTTTCCCCCCGCAGGCGCCCGGCCGCGGCCCTCATCGCCAGGGAGCTGCTCCGCACCCAGGGCCTGGTGGGGCTCTACTGGGGGCTGGGAGCCGCCCTTCTCAGGTGAGGCCTGTCCCCAAGCTGGACACAGAAGGGCCCCAGGGAACCCGGAGAAGGAACCCAAGGCCAGAGGGACGGCTCCCCAAGGGGGCCTCTGTGCTCTTCTAGGATGTTCAAACTCAGGACGGCAGAACCGGGCAGGGCTGCGGAGTCGGGCCTGGGAGACTGGTCTAGGCCCTTCTGCGGGGACCGGGCCCACATGACTGTCTGTCAGGTGCTCTGGGGCCCGGGAAGGAAGGGAACACCTGTGCGCGGACAGTCTTAAGGGGCTGGGAGGGCGCCTCTAGGTGAGGCTTTGGTAGAAAGGAGCAGATGCGCCTGAGGGACACAGAGAGGGTTCGTGGTTTCAACTGCTGATGGCTGTCAACCCGCAAATGCTCCAGGGGTTTGGAAAATGCTTCCTCTTTCCAGATTCCTGAGAACTTCACCCTCTCAAACCAAACCACAACCTGCAGGGAGCGCCTTGTGTAATAAATCAGTGACATCCACGTACGTGTTATGTTTTAATAAATAAAGCATATTCACGGCTTAGATCTTAAATCACATTTATAGACATTTCTAGGCCCAAACAGGTTAACAGTGAAGCTGCTGCTGCTGGAAGAAATGAGGCCCCACATGCACTTGAAGCCCAAAGAGTGGAGACCTGACCCCAGAGCCCACCACTCCGCCCCCCCCACGAGGCTGGACCCCAGGAGAGCAGGAGGCCTGGGGACACTCATGCACCCACCACCTGACCCCTCGCCTCTGTGCTGCAGAACAGCGGGAAGTTGTGTTACTTTGAGACAAGCCTAGAGGAAGGTTTCCTGATCGTACTAAGTGAGACTCTCGCCCGTTGGTCCCCACCAGCCGGGGTGTTGTTAGCTACAGCAGGGCTTCCACCGACAGATGCAGGACAGGACAGGAGGACAGCAAGGAGGAAGCTACGCAGGCCATCTTGTCTCTTCAACTGTCAGAAACGTCCACGTCACGCAGTGGGTGGACGCCACCTCCCTCAGGCTTAGTCCAAAAACTTCCTGTTGGCATTTGCCCCAAACAAGGCTCCCCGCACTTCGGGCATCATCTGTGAAGAAAGAAGCTCCTGCGTGAGGCGGCGCCGTCCCCCGCGCCTCAACCCCGCCCCGAAGCCCAGTAGTTGGCCAAGCACCGCCCGAGTCCGACCAAGAGACTCAGCGATCACAAACGTGGGCTTAAGGCCACTGCTTAAGGGGAAAGAGAACAAATGACGGGCACCATGGCCGTCTAAGGCTTCCGTCCCACTCCGGTATGGGGAGAAGAGTCGACGTTCTGGAGCACCTACACTCGTTCTTTCAACGGGTGCTGAGTGCACGCCGGGTGGAAAGCTGACAGCAGGTCTGTGCTGAGGCGCGCCGTGGCAACTGGAAAAGCCCAAGCACTCAACCTCAGGACGCAGCCACCAGCCATGTGCGGCCAGTGCAACTGAGGCGGCGAACTGCGCACCTTACCTAGCTTTAGTTAATTTAGCCACGTGTGGCTGGTGGGTAGCATGGCTCTGAGGTGTAAGTAACCAGAAGACGATGGTGAGGGTCGGGGCAGCAGACCACACCCCTGGAAGAGGCCCCGCACTCGGGACAACTCAAGTTTTCTGGCTGGTTTCCTGCAAACCCGGAAACACCTGAAGAGCCTGGCGCCCTGTGGCGATTCCTTTAAGAGCAGTTGCTTGACTTTCCATCATTCCTGCTGCGGTTTGGGGTTCTGGGGCTTTGGGTCAGCATCTCCACATGCAGTAAAATAGATACATTAAAATCCTAGGCACAGGGCTTCCCTGGTGGCACAGTGGTGGAGAGCCCGCCTGCCGATGCAGGGGACGCGGGTTCGTGCCCCGGTCCGGGAAGATCCCACATGCCGCGGAGCGGCTGGGCCCGTGAGCCATGGCCGCTGAGCCTGCGCGTCCGGAGCCTGTGCTCCGCAACGAGAGAGGCCACAGCAGTGAGAGGCCCGCGTACCGCAAAAAAAAAAAAAAAAAAAAATCCTAGACACACAAAGCCCTCGTTGTGACCCCAAGGCCACCCTCATGTAAACATATCCTCCCAGCAAATGGCACTAAATGCCTGAATCCCCGCTCCTTTTAAGAAAATGTCAAAAAACGTAGAAAGAATCAACGAAGTCCAAATACGGCCGATCGACATGTTCTCCGCAGCACCTCCTCAAGGTAACGACAGGCCAACTAACTGATGAGATGTGTCCCCACACTCACCTGCTGGGCTATGAGGTCCAGCCGGCTTTCGAGGGTATTGGAGACCTTGATTTTGCGATCCCCGCTGTAGATCTCAACCCCGCCAGCTCTACAAAGAACACCGGAAACAACGTTCATAGGTTTGAGGGAAACAGACACACGTTGTACAATTACCCTCTTCCCTTGGAGAATAGCTGTCTTGGTGTGTGGATGGTCTCAACACTTAGGGGCAACAAACGTATGCAGTAAGTTTGAAACTAATTCAGAAGCTTCTGAAGCTTCAAGGTAAAGAGGCCGGTAATAACTCATTACCAAGTGACTATGTGCCAATCTGATTTTACGTTACTCTAACAACCAGCCCTCCCCAACTGGACGAAAAGGGGGAAGACTGCGTCCCAGTTTGCAAATCAATACATACAGTCCTCATCTGAATGCTTCTTAAAGGCCAGTGCTGCAGGGACCAGGGGTGCTGACAGGCAATCCTCCTCAGTGCCTGTGTCTCAGATAAAAGGCTCCATCCCAGCAGGTGCCAAACCCAGCCCTCAGTGGTGCAAGGCCGATAGGTCACATCCTACTACAAGGAGCCTCAGGTATGAAATTCTTTTGCTACATTACAATTCTATTTTTTACAAAATATTTCTTGAAATAAGCAGGCTCTGAGGCAAAGGCTGGGAAAAATTTTGCAAATTTTCTCTAGAAAATTTCAAAGGGCTCTGACGTGAATATTATTTTCTTACTCCATCCTCCTCCCCCATTTCCTCTTTGTTTCTCTGAACAGCCCCTGTCCCCACGCGGGCAGCAGGGGAAGGGGGGTGTCTGCTGTGCACCAGGCACTCCTGAACGCCAAGTCCAGGCCCTTCCGTGTCTCCTTTTCCCCAGGGACCTATAAACCAGGAAACAGGCTTAAGAGGTGGATAAAAGGACCAATTTACTGAATAAAACTCCAGTTTAAATCTGCAGAGTCCTTCACCTGCAATTCTGAATCTCAAAGGCTCTGAAAACAGAACCACCTAATTCAAGTGGCTCCAGAGCCTGAACTGGGCTCCAGTCACCTGTCAGCAAACGGCTGGTGTCCCTGCATAACTACTCCTCGGGTGTGAGCGCTCCTGCTTCCATTCAAACACGTAGGGCATGTACGGGATTGCTTCTCTAAGCACCCGAACACAAAGCACCAGGCACAGTGGTCCTGACTGGAACTGCTGAGTCCTGCATGGTCTCCACACGCTGACTACCCACCAGCAGAGTCACTGTGCATCCTGAGCCCTGATGTCAGTGCTGCACAGACATGACCCCACTTCAGCTTCCAAGAGCTCAGTGAGGCGGGTGCTGTTATCCCAGGTCAGAGATGAGGACGACTAAGTAACTAGTCCAACCCTACCTGGCCAACACCTGGCAGAGTGGAGAAGCAGACCTCGATCTGACAGTAATGCTCAATAATGCTTAGGCTCCCACAGGCCCTCAGCTTGAAAGCACTGTCACACACACCCTATCTCTGATCCTCAGCTTATGAAGCAAGCAAGACTGATCCCTTTTACAGATGATGGGATTTGGGCTCGAGGTCCTGCAGCGAGCAACAGGCCAATCGGGACTCAGAACTAGGTCTTGCAATCCTAAATTCATGTGTCCCAAGGCCTCCGCAATGCTGGCCCATGGGGTGGACCAGCGGGCAGGCGCACAGGGAAAATGCCCCGGACTCTCCCCAGCCAGGAGCTCCTACCACCCCTCCCAACCACGCCGAGTCTCCCCGCACTCAGCAGAAGCACCGTGGTTGCTGGCGTTCCACACCAAGGGATCTGCCAGCCAGACATGGCTACTTCCTTGTCAGAGGGAGTGATCACCTTTCTCACTACCTAGGACCCACGTGGACCCACGTTCAAGTTCTGGGTACAGAATCCATGCTGCTTCTAGGCAAGCTGAGCCATAAGAAGCTGGTTAACAAGGGGGAGACCAACAGGCACCAACACGAGGCAGCACGAGGCACGCGTGGGATGGCCACACCGCCATCCTGCCCGGGGCGCCCAGAGGACACGCGCAAGGCCGGGCGGACGGCCGTTCGCGCGGCCAGAGCAGCTCAGGTGTTAAAAGCAGAAATGCTCCTTACATTTCCTCAGGCAGGTAGGCCTCCTGATCAATGTGGACATCAGCGTCTCTTTTGGTGGCGATTTTGTACACGGGGATTGCTTTTTGCACCGCAGCCTGGAAAAACACAAAAAAGAGAGGTTTTATCAGAAACTATGGAGCAGGTATCCATAAAACCAACAGTCTGTACAAACAAAGATATTCCTACATATTTTTCAAGTAAAAGAACAGACATGTTGCTGGTGGGAATGTAGAACGGTACAGCCGCTGTGGCAGATGGTATCGTAGTCCCTCGAAAATCAAACACAGAATCACCTCAGGATCCAGCAAGTCTACCTCTCGATACTTATCCAGGTGAAGTACAAGCACAGACCCGACAGATATTTGTACACCCGTGTTCACAGCAGCACTGCTCACAATACTCAAAAGGTAGAGACGACCCAGGTGTCTATTAACACATAAACGAATAAATAAAATGTGGTCTACAGATATAATTCAGCCTTAAAGAAAGAAATCCTGACACACGCTACAACGTGAATGAACCCTGAAGACATTACTGCCAAGTGAAATAAGCCCGTCACCCAAGCACAGATACTGTGCTGAGCCCCAATGTATGTGTCAATCTGTTCAACTAGTAATCGTGTCAGAAAAAGACTAAAGTTCCTTCAAGAAAACATTCTCACGTGTCTCCTGGAGCCTACAGTGCTGTCCGAAGATGGGACTTCCACGCCACACTCTGCAGTGCAGCGTGAGGAACCCTCTTCCATCTGTCCTACACCTCCACTTCTCCCAGCTCACTGATTTTTAAAACTGCGGTAAAATGCACATGAAATTTACCATCGTGATCAGTTTTAAGTGTACAGTTCTGTGGCTTTAAGTACGTTCGTTGTTGTGCAACTGTCCCCACCATCCCTCTCCAGAATGTTCCACCTTCTCAAGCTGAAACTCTGTCTCCATTAAACACCGTCTCCACCTGCCCCTCCCCCCGCCTCTGTCTCTTTTATTTAGATGGTATTGCCTATCCTCTGCTCCAATCCAGTAGGTACTGTTTTCTCCAGAAAGGGAGGAGGGTACTAACTCAGATGGCAACTTGATTTGTTTAAGAAAATAAATAAGAGGCTCAGGTACACTTAAGTTAGTATCTATAACATGTTAAGACTCTTCTAGTCCCCATAGTTGAGCTGTCATTTATTACAGCATGCATTTCATCCCTAACATTTTGATCTTTAAAAAGAAAAAGGATTTCTTCAAGCTCTACCTTCACCAGAGGGAAATCCTGTTTCCTGCAACGAACGATCATTCGGGGCTCCAACAACTGGTACAAACCCTATTAACGCACAATCAGATACAATTAGTAAAAACTGCAAACTATAAAATAAAACAACAGTAAATAAAATGTCTTCATAACTCTTTCGTCTAGCTTGGGAAAGCAGTCCTCTTGTTTAATTAAGTTCCCCCAAAGATGGCCTACATGGTATGAGACCATGGCAAGATCTTCATATCACAAACCAGATAAACAGACCCAACGCTCTGGTGATGGGAACGAAATTCATACGGGAGTCTTACATCGACTAGGTTGAGGACAAGTATTGTACTTAACAGCTGAACAGCAAACAATTAAAATGTATACAGCCTGTGATCTGAACCTCAATATCTAAAGCAAGCATTTTAGTGGTAAAATTAAATCAGGAAAGTTTACAGCTGGAGGTTACAAAGGACAAGTGAGACAACATCAGTCTCGTCCACCAGCCAGACACCACCGTCCTCCCACACATCTCCCGACCAGACAAGGAAAAGAGCTAAAATGAGAACACAGGAGAAACAGCTGGCTTCTATCCCATCTTGTCGACTCTGCAGGGATGTGGCTCTCAGTGGTGCATCCGACCTACAAACTTACCTGGAGGACCAGTCCATCCAGCAGCACTTGGTACCTGGTCGTATCTTTTACCACTTTGCTGAGCCTCTGTTTGGCTTCATTTAGTAGGTCCTACAAAGAGTGGAAAAAGAAAAAGTTATCTACACACTTGGGTCGTCAGCTTGGAACCCACGTGGGGCTGGCCCAGCCCGCGTCCAATCACTTCTCACTTTACGGCCGTGTTTTCTCTCCACACGCGCTCTCTGAGGGGTACGATAAAGCAGGTGCTGCCCGAAGGACACAGATGCGAGCGAGAGCGCTCCGCGGCTCCCAGGGGACTCGCGGTCAGGCAGAAGCGCCCAGGTTACCGATCACGACTGAGCAACACAGAAAGAGCCACGTGACACAGCCGTGGAGAGCAAGCTACTGAGGCAGCTGGGCAAGATGCTTCCATTTTTTATTAGAAAAAGCAGCCTCTGCACAGAGAACAAAGTGTCATCAGTGTTTACCTGCGGGAGGCTGGACTATCAATGATTTCCATTTTCTTTATGTTAGTTTGTATTTTCCAGTGGTCTATAGTAAACACTGGCTTCTATAACTAAAGCAGACATTGAAAGGGACTCCGGAGACAAATCTCACGTGGTTGAGAAGAGCGCGCTGGCATCTGCTCGTAAGTGGTAAGCACGCACAGGCTTACTGGTAAAAGAGGACCGAGGTCGTTTAAATGGCAGAGAGAGCGCCTCTCAATCCCACTGCTGGCCACCCAACGCCACTGAGAACAGTTCGTCCTAGTAAATCTTCCACATACATGTCTCCCTTATTGAATATGATCTCTGGAATGATTTGGGGGATTTAAAGAGGGAGAACATACATGCTCGCTCAGAAACCAATCAGAATTTGAGGAGTGAGGGTGGAGAGAAGGAAGTGGCCCTGTATTTGGTTCTGAGAGTCTCCCTTGGACCCGCACCCAGCCCGGAACCACTCCCGAGCAGTTGAAGCCTTTAGAATCTAGGACGCTACGGCACAAAGATTTGAAGCATTTATGATATAAGACATCTGGCTGAAAGAAACCTCAGCCCCTCCTCACCAAGAGACCCCTCAAGCACAGTTCTCTTTGTGCTGGAATTGACTGTCCACACTGGTCATGCCGGTAGGGGTGGACACGAACAGTACGGAGACAGGTTTACTCTAAAAGAGTGAGCATCAAGTGGAGCTGTAACGAGTGATGCCAGCCACTTGTAAAAATAACCCACTGAGAAATCTGGAAATGGACAAATGAAGACTCTTAACACCACCCAGAACTCCAATCAAGGGAGTAGGAACTCGGAATAAACTGAACTCCAGCCAAGAAAGCTGGAACCTAATCGACATAGACTGCATTGTCCCTTGTCTAAATCATTCCTGTCCACTTAAGAGACATGCCCCACAGGTCAGGAAGGTAACTTAAGTAATACCCCAGTGACACTCTTTGATTCTAAACTCAGCTTTCTGGCTGTAGTCTGACTCCCCATGGGGAGGGGTGTAGGTTACTGCCGTTCACGTGTCAGCCTACAGATCAGTATTTTGAGAGTCTGGAAGGGCATTTTCATTATCTGTCCACCTGAACCTAACTGCCTCTAGGATCCTGAAAATATTAGATTCTGCTCCTGGAAAGCAAGAAACTAAAACCCGATTATGACGACATCAAAATCATGTCTCCTTGCTCGTGCCCGGTGTGAAGAGTCAGGGGGCGTCCTGCAGAGACATTTCTGTTTCGTCTCTTTAACCGCAGCACCAGAAATCTCTACTTCAGGACCAGCAAATCAGAATTTCTAAAGGTCGGTCTGTTCTTTACCTCCCTTAAATGACAACAACAACACCTTACACAGTGTGAGGTTTAGGAAGTGACGGTAAAGAGCTGTTACTTACCCCAGGCCTGTCCTGTGTGAGGCACTGCACGGTCACTTTTCCTATGTGGACCAACTTAATTCTAAAGAAGCTTCACGTATATGCTTTCCCCATTTTATAAAAGGAAGGTTCAAAAGGGTTAAAAAATTCACCCACCGGAACTTCCCTGGTGGTCCAGTGATAAAGAATAAGCCTTCCAATGCAGGGGACACGGGTTCGATCCCTGGTCTGGGAACTGAGATCCCACATGCCGCAGGGCAACTAAGCCCACGCTCTCTAGAGCCCATGCACCACAACTGGAGCGCCCACACGCTGCAACTAGAGAGCCTATGTGCTCCCCGGTCCGGGAGGATCCCACATGCCGCAGAGCGGCTGGGCCCGTGAGCCATGGCCGCTGAGCCTGTGCTCCGCAGCGGGAGAGGCCACAGCAGTGAGAGGCCCGCGTACCGCAAAAAAAAAAAGATCCGATGCAGCCAAATAAATAAATGAAGAAATACTAGGAAAAAAAAATTCGCCCACCAAACAGCAGACAGTGGTGAAACAGAAACACACTTCACAGGGGTTCAAAAGCATGGGCTCTTACACCTGGAGAGCCTCAGGGCAGGCAGGGGAAAAGGGTAGACAGCAGAGAAAAGTAACTAAAGGACTACAGGCAACCGTGCACTTCTGGTAGCAGAACAGCTTGCCTGTTTGCTTTTCATTTTCATCCTGGTTCTGTATTTCCTCCTTCCTTCTATCTTCTGTCAACATCCTTTTCTAGCCAACTGCTTGACAAATCCCCTTCCTTTCATAGTTTCTTATTCTACGGATAAAGCTGGAGAAATAAACGTTTTAAAAGAGCCAAATCCACAGAAACATGCACATGTAGCCCTGTCCCCCATCATCTCACAGCCGGTTTCCTCACCCTCCGTGACGCTTCATTACTAGGGTTCACTAAACCGCAAATCACCTGATGGCAAGATGTTAGGCTGCAAAGGACTAAGGAAAGAAGCGCTTTAGAACAACTGAAATTATAGAAATGTTTATTTTAACAAAATTCTCATTATACATTAGCAAAACAAAAGCTCAGGCTGTGCTCTGAAACCGAGTTGCACGCTACAGAATAACTGGCTTTGCCATCTACCAAAACACGGACAGTTCAACAAAATGAGAAAAATAAAAGAAAAACAAGAAACCCCGACAGTTCACACGCCCGCTGCCTTCAGTCCCTCACCGCATGCTCGCCTGTCCAGCTTTCACCACCAGGCTTTGTCTCTACCAGCCCAACGACGCTGCTCTAGTACGAGTCAGAAGTGAAACCTCGATCCCCAACTCCAAAGACCACTGCGCTCTGCCCCCTTGGACTCGCCGAAGCATGAGACACTGTATTCGATTACCATTTTGTTCTTCAAGTTTTCTGTCCCTTTGGCTTCTCCTTCACGACTTCTCCTCCAACACGACTGCTTCCCCCCATGCTCCTTAGCAGTCTCTAATTTTCCTGCCGTAAGCTGAAGGCTTCTCAGTTTGCTCCCCTGGCCCTGTAGTTCTACATCCACAAGCTTGCGATCTCACCCATGCCACGCAGCTCCACATGGGACCTGTGTGCTCTCTGAGTGGAAGCCCCAGCCTCTCCTAAGTTCGCCTGGACTCCGAAGGCGATTCAAATGCCAAGATTCATCACCATTCCCCACCTGCTCCTCCCCCTGTATTTCTAACCCTCATCACCTATCCAAGTGCCTAGCGACCTGGTGAGAAAGCTTAGGTCTTTCTTGACGCCTCACAACCTGCAGTCACCGAGTCCCACAGACCACACCTTGCAGCATCTGTGGATGCCGTCGCTTCATGTCCTCTGCTGCCACGTGGTCTTGACCTGCAAGTCAAAGTTAAGCCATAACCTCATTTCCTCTCCCCAAGTCACCAGTTCTCTTTCTCCAAAACAAATCTAAGGCTAAAGCAGTAATTTCTCAGTGTGGTTCTCAGACCTCCTGCAACAAGATTACTCTGGGCTGTTTATTCCTGATGAGAATACAGAAAATCTCTGGCAATGGGGCCGGGAGTCTGAGTTTTAACAAGGCCCTCCAGGTGATCTCTGTGCCTATTAGAGTTAAGAGAGCTGGTCCAAGGATTTGTCCCACACTCTTCAGCAGGCGTTCAAGGCTCTTCCAACTGAGCCCTAGTGTCTCTCTCCAGCCTCAGTTCCTACACTCCCCGCTCTCCTGGACAATTCCATTTCCTGCCCGTGTTGTCAATTCCAGGCCTCTGTTTTTGTTTCAGGCTGCTCTCTCCATTCCGTCTCCAAGGTAATGACATTCTTTACAGTCACACTCAAAAGGCTGCCGTATAGATACAGTCTCTGGTCTAGTCCCAGTTAGACAGCAGACTCCTACAGCACTGAGCACCAATGCAGGACCAATACAGGCAAACCCTGCAGTCCAAACAGCTGACTGCCAAAGGAACCCAGCTAATTATGAAATGAAAATAGAAGAGTGAAAACTAAAAGATCAAGTTAGTATCGAAAGCAGAGAGACATTTAGTTGTGACAATTTTAGAAGCAGATCAACTCTGGCTACTCTGGGGTCTATTAAGTGTTATGGGAGTTATGTTAGTGAGTCACCTCTGTGTGTCCTCACACTCAACCTCCTGGCAGACACTTCCATCTGAAGGCTTCCTGGCCCCTCAAAGAATGTCCAGTGTGATCTGGTGGTTCTTCTTAAAAGAGCCCGCCCTCCTGACTTCCTATTATGTTAATGGAGCCACCACCCTCCTAGGCAGCCGGGCCTGAAACTCAGGGTTTGGCGTCAGCCTTAGAAGAGGAGGTGAGGAGCTTCCCTGGTGGCGCAGTGCTTGAGAATCCACCTGTCGATGCAGGGTACACGGGTTCGAGCCCTGGTCCAGGAAGATCCCACATGCCGTGGAGCGGCTGGGCCCGTGCACCACAACAACTGAGCCTGCGCTCTAGAGCCCACGAGCCACAACTACTGAGCCCGCGCACCACAACTGCTGAAGCCCATGCGCCTAGAGCCAGTGCTCCACAACAAGAGAAGCCCCCGCTCGCCGCAACTAGAGAAAGCCCGAACGCAGCAACGAAGTCCCAACACAGCCAAAAGTAAATTAATTTTTTTTAAAAAAAGAAGAGGAGGTGGAGGAGTCAGTAGCCAACGTCCGGGGCTTCCTCCTATAAAACATGTCACCACTGACACCCAACTCAGTCCTTGTTGCCACCGTGCCAGGCTCACCTGACAAGAACCAATATCTTACAATATTAGTTTCTCTAGTCATCTAAGAAGATGGTATGTCTTCTGCTTAGTCAAGTATTATATTTTCAGTTTTATACCTTTTCCATATAGTTCCTATTCACCAACATTTACTCCTAATTGCTTACTGTTGGCATGTAGTAAAACTATCAATTTCTGTATATTCTCTTTGTAGCCAGTCACCTTTTTGAACTAATTACTAGTTCTTAGTTATTTTCAGATGTTGTATTTTTTTAATATACAGTCGTATCTTCAAAAAAATAACTGTTTCTTCCTTCCCAATATTTATATAACTTGTCTCTCCATTTTGTAAGAAATCTAGGGCCTCCACAATAACAATGAGTAATAGTGGAAACAGAGGCCTCCGCTTGGTTTCTAAATTTTTTTTTTTTTGGCCGCACTACACAGCTTGTAGGATCTCAGTTCCCCGACCAGGGATCGAACGTATGTTTCTGCCCTCTCCTTTGGGTGACAATACTCCCCCAATGGTTTTCTGTCTAACCTCTTCTCTGTTAAATTTAGTCTACGTACTCATATCATGAACCCTATTTATGATAGGCCTCATAAAATAAAATGAAACCTTCAACAGCTTTCTACTGAAAGCAAGCAAAGCTCTTCACTTGCACTCATGGCCCCACAGTAACTCCATCCTACCTTTCTAGCCTTATTAGTCCCCATCGCCCTCAGATACTGTATGGTCCCCCCATCACGTGCTATATACCCAGGAGCTACATGCTCTGTTAGAGCAGCAGGTCCTTGAAGACTGGACACACATCTTATTCATTTCTGTATTTATTACAATACCTAGTGTAATGATTTGCTGACCAAATGTTTTCTCTCTAAAAATCATTCATCAGCTCCTTAATCTAACATTAACTAGTGAATTCTCTATAACAGACAAATGAATAAACATTTTATAATTCTATAACTAAAGGGGCTAATTACTCACTGTGATAAGGTCATCTCTCGCTCTGAGGACTTTGAGCCTCGCTTGATTCATCAAATTAGACATCTGACTGCAAAAGGCACAGAAAAGTAGTATCATTACAGCATAAAAAACAACCAACGTAGAGAAAGAAAGGTACAACCTCCTACATATGTGCAAACACTTCTCTTTGTACAGATCCCAAAGAGAACTCCCTGAAATACATGTAGCGGTTTTTATCCACTTATTTTCAAAGATAAGGAAATATTTATTGAATGCTTATGAAGTGGCAAGACTTTCTTATCAGTTATTTCAACTATATCTTTCAATAATCCTGTGAGCCTTCCGTTTTCCCAAATGAGGAAAGAGAAGTAACTTGACCAAGGTTAGTTAATCGGTGAATGGTCCATTTCAGACCGGAACCCGTAACTGCCTGGCTCCAAAGCACCTGCTTTACCCTCTCGTCCCGGTGATTTTCAAAGCTCACATTTTCTTCTGCTGCTCAATCTGCTTTTCCTTCTTCTCGTAGTATTCCATAATCTTCAGTCTTTGGGTCTGCACAAGACGACCTTTCTCAATGTTGAACTCTTCTTCTGCCTACCAAGGAGTGTATTATTATTACTTCATTATACAGGTCTTGACAGTTTCATTTTAAGCAGCTGACGCCCAGGGCAGTTGCTTATACTCACCTTGCTCTATGTCTAGTATATCCACCAACAAAGTTTCAGTGAACAGAATCAGAAGATTCTGTGTATGAAAAATATTATGTATTTTAAATTTGATCCATCTGTTTAATAGAGGGCTAATGAAAACGACACAGAATTTGGAGTCAGAAGATATGAGTTACCGTCTAAAAAATTTGGTCAAGTAATCTGTCTAAGTGTCCTCCCTTATAAAATAAGAAAATAAAAATAGTATTCTTTCCTTTGTAGGTCAAAATCTAACAGTCCTTTTAAAATTGTAAACTACATAAATTTGAGTTATTAGTTTTATTAGTGTTAATTATTGAGCAGTCACTTTTTACAAAGGGTATCTTAGTATATCAGCCGTCTGTGATTTTCAGGCAGTAAGAAATTATGACTTTGGAAGCTAGCTAAAGTTACTGATTCAGATGTTGAATGCTTGGCACAGACACTGGAACTTTCAAATTCTAAAATAAATGCCTAACAGCTTGTTTCTATACCTATCACACGAGATAAGACTACTTTAAATAGAAATGCATTTACCAACTGAAACAGAAGTTCTGTATTTGTCCCAGAGAGAAATAAGGAAACTAGTCATACGAGAAACTGCAGTGCTCCTAAGGCCATCAAAACAATATTAAACAAGCAACAAGGACATACTGTACAGCACAGAGAAATACAGCCATTATTTTGTAATAACTTTAAATGGAGTATAATCTATAAAAATACTGACTCACTATGCCGTACACCTGAAATTAATATAATATTGTTAACCAACTATACTTCAATAAAAAATGTATAAAACAATACCCTCTCAACTGTTTTACTTCAGTGACAGGCAAAAAAGTCTTTTCTTTCTTAGATGATAAATTACTCAAACAGTTCAAAGGTTTAGTTTTGGCCCTAGGATACAAGGCACACACAATTTTAAGGCTTTACCGTTAAGTAACAAATGTAACCACTGTAGAATAAAGTAAAAGGATAGTGAAAATAAAGTATTAGGTGATATATTCTGACCTACCATGATTATACCTAGAGAAAAGAACAATTTTATATACTGTACAGAAACACTGTGCAACTCGAAATATCTGTAAAATTTCTAGATGCTGACTGCCACCTTCGTGATGGGCAGGGGCTTTCATTTTATGCCTTACATACGCCAAACTGTGTATTTACCTTTTTTGCAGCAAGCACAAATAAAAAAGCAACATAACAATGAAAAAATACTACATCCTCCCCTGACCAGATATCAATTAGCCGCGGTTGCTCAATGTCTGAGTTTGGATTCCATGAGAAAATTAATCCATCCCTTACTTTTCTACTCCCTACCATAAAATTTCAGGACACTTTTTGACAATCAGAATTTTGGGACTTCACTGGCGGTCCAGTGGTTAGGATTCCATGCTTCCACTGCAGGGGGACAGGCTCGATCCCTGGCCAGGGAACTAAGATCCCGCGTGCCACGTGGCACAGGCAAAAAAATTAAAGAATGTTTAGAAAGGAAAATTTACTTTTAACGTTAAAGAAATTCTTACTGGTCCTATGCAATGAACGCTCTGTTAATCAATTTTACTAAGTACTAATTAGCAAAGCAAGACAGTACGAAACTTTGATAACTTCTTAAACCTAGGAAGTGGAATCTCACCTTTGCATCTATTTCTTCTGCTTTCTCATTAGCTTCTTGTTCAATAAAAGCCATCATGTGCTTAATCTATAAGGAGAAGGAAAGGTTACTTGAGAATATGACAAGAAAAAAATATCTATGTTTTCTGATTCTTCCAACAATCATTTATGGAATGCCTTTCTGTTCTCAGGTAACTTACAATCTGGAATTTACTCCAGCAAATGGACCAGATGCAATATTCAACAACACAGGTAAACAGGCCATTATCCTACTCTCAAGGAACTTGGAGTCTATGGGGAGGAAGGACTGAATACACGTCCTCCTCTACTTCCGGCCTCCTTCAGCCAGACCGTCCTTCCCCCTTCTCCATTTCTACTGGAGTGTACCAGACAGCCTCCTACTCTCAAGGCACTCCAGCCTGACTCCCCTCCCCGCAACCCAGTGAAATCACTTGTAAGATGACGGCCATCTCCTCGCCCTTATCTTACTGCATCTGCAGCGTCTCCTGGTACACTGACCACCACCCTTCTTGAGCATGTGCTTCCCTTTGCTCCCGCCACTTCCTTGCTCTCCTCCTCAGCCTCCTCTGAGGCCATACGCTTCTTCCTCCGCCTCCCAGACAGCTCCTTCAGGAGACCCTACCCACGGCAACTGAAATCCCACACGCTCCGTAAGGAACACTGACGGCTCTGCTCCCACGTCCCCCTTGACCTCTGCCTTGATGACCAGCACCAACACCAAGTAGTCCCCTCCCGTATCTCAGGCCCCAGGTCCAATCACCATGTCCTACGAGCTCTCTTTTCTAACACCTCTTTAATCTGTCCATCTGTCTCCACCTTCACAGCCACAATCTCATCTTTGCTATCATCATCTCCTGGCGGAATTACTGCAACAGCGTCCATATCTTCCCCGGGCCCTCAGTCTTGTTCCCTTGCTAACCAGCTCTACCTGACAACCAGGAAGATCCTTTACAAATGTCCCTCTCATCACGTACCACACCCCCCCTTAGGATAAAGTGCAGAGATTTTAGAAGGTCTGCCATGTGGTCACTGCTCATCTCTCCAGCATCACATGAAATGTAACCTCCACCACTGGCCACTCCTCAGACTCCTAGTTCCTGTCATCCTACATTTTTTAAAGTTAATTAATTAATTTTATTTTTGGCTGCGTTGGGTCTTCGTTGCTGTGTGCGGGCTTTCTCTAGTTGTGGTGAGCAGGGGCTACTCTTCGTTGCGGTGTACGGGCTTCTCATTGCGGTGGCTCCTCTTGCTGCGGAGCACGGGCTCTAGGCGTGCAGGCTTCAGTAGTTGTGGCATGCGGGCTCAGTAGTTGTGGCTCACAGGCTCTAGAGCGCAGGCTCAGTAGTTGTGGCGCACGGGCTTAGTTGCTCTGCGGCATGTGGGATCTTCCCGGACCAGGGCTCAAACCCGTGTCCCCTGCGCTGGCAGGCGGATTCTTAACCATTGTGCCACCAGGGAGGTCCCCATGCTACTCTCATTTCAGGTTTTCAGTTCCTTGAGCTCGCCATTCTTTCCACTTTGGAGATTTCAAACATGCTGTTCCTTCCACTTGGAACACTCCCCCACCCCCAGCCCAGCTATCTTCTCGAGCCTCAGCTCGCTTAACTGTCACCTCCTTTGGAAAATCTCCTGAACCTCTCACTTATCTGCACCCAGGACACTCTGCACTTCTCCGCCTAAACACACAGTCCTAATTGCCTGCTTGCCTGTGCCTCTCCTCAACTAAATTATAAGGCTAGGAACTTGCTAAAGGGTTTTAGATCTCTGGCTACAATTGGAGAATGAAGTCCCCAAAATCTTCTGAATGGGGCTTGGGGTGACTGATCTAATTTATACTCATAAACAGAGTACTGTCTCTAGTGGCAGATGTAAAATATACCCAAATGAATATACAAGCAACAGAGCTAATCAAACTCACTGGTAGTTTCATTTCATAGGGGCTCTACCTGAAAGGAATAGTGAATTAAAAAGGAAAAAAAGCAGCTTAAAAAAATTTAATGTAGAGCCTCTAGGTTATTAACTCATTTCATGTATTAATTGTCCCGCATAAAGGTAAACACCACCGTAAACCCAGGACACGGGGTTAAGGGTTTACTTCCCCCACAGTAGGTGCTCAATAAACATTTGTGAGTGAGTGAGAATCTGTTGGGAGTTTCAAGCCTTCTGAGGTACCCCAACTACTTTTTAGAGTCTGTACAAAAGTGAGTTAAGATTTGTTTCACAAGAATGTGAATATACTTAACACTACTAAATCATTCACTTAAAAATGGTTAAAAAGGCCCTGAGAAAACCATAATTCAAAAAGACACATGTACCCCAATGTTCATTGCAGCACTGTTTACAATAGCCAGGATGTGGAAACAACCTAAATGTCCATCGACAGATGAATGGATAAAGAAGATGTGGTACATATATACAATGGAATAAAAAGGAACAAGATTGGGTCATCTGTAGAGACATGGATGGACCTAGAGTCTGTCATACAGAGTGAAGTAAGTCAGAAAGAGAAAAACAAATATCGCGTATTAACGCGTATGTGTGGAATCTAGACAGTACAGATGAACCCATTTGCAGGGCAGGAATAGAAACGGAGATGTAGAGAATGGACATGTGAACACAGCGAGGGAAGGCGGGGTGGGATGAATTGGGAGATTAGGTTTGACATACATACACCACCACGTGTAAGACATAGCTAGTGGGGACCTGCTATATAGCGCAGGGAGCTCAGCTTGGTGCTCTGTGGTGACCTAGATGGGGGTGGGTGGGAGGGAGGTCCAAGAGGGAGGGGATATGGGCATACCTATAGCTGATTCACTTCGTTGTGCAGCAGAAACTAACACAACGTTGTAAGGCAACTATACTCCAAAAAATGGTCAAAAAGGTAAACTTCACGTAATGTGTTTTACACAATTAAAAAAAGTGAGTTAAGAATACAACCTAGGGGGCTTCCCTGGTGGCGCAGTGGTTGAGAGTCCACCTGCCGATGCAGGGGACTCGGGTTCGTGCCCTGGTCCGGGAAGATCCCACAGGCCGCGGAGCGGAGCGGCTGGGCCCGTGCGCCATGGCCGCTGAGCCTGCGCGTCCGGAGCCTGTGCTCTGCGGCGGGAGAGGCCACAACGGTGAGAGGCCCGCGTACCGCAAAAAAAAAAAAAAAAAAAAAGAATACAACCTAGGGACTTCCCTGGTGGTGCAGTGGTTAAGAATCTGCTTGCCTGCCGATGCAGGGGACACGGCTTCGAGCCCATGATCCCACGTGCCGCGGAGCAACTAAGCCTGTGCACCACAACTACTGAGCCTGCGCTCTAGAGCCCGCGAGCCACACCACTGAAGCCTGTGTGCCTAGAGCCCGTGCTCTGCAACAAGAGAAGCCGCTGCAATGAGAAGCCCACGCACTGCAACGAAGAGTAGCCTCCGCTCGCTGCAACTAGAAAAAAGCCCGCGTGCAGCAATGAAGACCCAACGCAGCCAAAACATAAATATATTTTTTAAAAAAAAAGGGAAAATAAAGAGCAGGTGCTTTAAAAGAAAAAAAAAAGAATACAACCTCATGGCATCAAAGTCTTGAGGAAAACACACAGCACGGTTTTAGAAGGGAAGACTTATTTTTTGTCAAAATTCTTAGGAGCTCTCTACCAGTGAGGAGCCAAAATAATGACGACAATCAGAGCCCGTTTTATAGGTAATACAATACTTATAAATTCTCAAGCCTTGAAAAATTGGGGTGCCTAACCCAAATCTACACTGTTAAGAAAAACCACAGTGAACTTGCTAAATGGATCAACCTCCACACATCTGTGCCTGTGTGTGTGTTTCTGTTTGTGCTGTGGAATGGAATCGTCACAAGCTCAGATCAAACTCACACTGCACTGTCTGGAACTTTAAAAGTAGTTTAAAGACAGTAATCAACTCAGGTAGCTTACAAATGCTACAAGACACTGGCCTCTAGAGGGGAACCCTCATTCAAACCTGCATTACCTGCCTCTATCTCTCGGGCCGGACCCTCTGCAACCAGATCTGACGAGATCAGCACAGCCTAGAGCAAAACACACTCATTGTAGCCCAGGTCACAGAAACCCGTTTACAGTCAACAAGAACACATTCTGCCTTTAGGAGTTCCAACAAGAGAAAAGTCAACCCCTTCAGGACATTTAACTCCACGCTTAAGGCAGAAAAATCTGCCCTTAAAATATACTTTTCTTCTTCCTGCTAAAGCTACTGGGTTCTACACTTCTGGAGTCAAGATTCTTTTGAAAGTTTGATGAAATAAATAACCATACTCCCCAGACAAAAAAAGCAACATACACAAATACTTTAATACAGTGGGGAAGAAATCAGGAAACCCAGGATTTCTTTTTCTTTTTACATTTAAGTATTAGTATTTTATTTCCAGCACTCAAGTTCATCCTTAAGAAGATTTAGTCGATTCTAGGGGGCTCTTTTTAAATACATTACCTACTTGTGATGGAAAAACCAACAAGAACGAGCACTCCATTTTTGATGTATGTACACAATATATCTCCTATAGGAGACTGTTTGGCTTAGCACTCTTGGCAGCTCCAGTGCAATCTCACAGAGCATCCTAGGGTTTCACTGACCCACACCTAATGGTGCCTGAAAAACATCTATGTTTCCCCCTTGTCTCAGAATCCATGAAAGTCTGCAGATTCTCCCAGCTCTAAAAGCAGTGATGTTTACAGAAATCAGCACTTTGCTTTACTGAAGCAGACATCTTGACAGCAAAGAGAGTAACAAGATTTGACTTGACCCAAAGTGCATGAGGACTAAAGACAGTTTCACCATTCGGCTTTGCAATGTAGTTTCCAGAAATCAACTGTGATGAAAAGCAGGAAATAACTATATTAAGATTTTACTAACTCCTAAAGAGCAGGAAGTTGAAGGAAACCCAGATTTCTAGACGTCTACTCGGTGCTCGATACTCAGGCCTGGTCACTGCCGGGAATACGGGGAAAACAGGCACCGCCCTGATGGGGACCGCGCGTAGTGTGGAGGAGTACAGACGATACATTTGCTCGTTCTTACTATTTTACAGAAAGAAAACGTGGTTCTGGCCTAGTTTCACTGCTTTACCTTTGCCGTGTATTCTAACTGGGGAAGCCCTAGTTTTCAATACATCACAACAAGGCGGAAAACGAAGAAGAGGACGAGAGCTGGTACTAGGGGTGTGACCGCTGGACTACGTGGAGCGCACTGCGTCCTTTTTCCTACAGTAAAACTCAGACGCAGCGCTGATTAATGTTCAAAACCCGCGCTGTTCTGTAAGCATGCGGTAAGATTTCCTACAGTGCCGCACAGACGCTATTTTTGTTACCCTCCGTGATCAGCCTAAGATCCCCTAAAAGGAAGAACCACCACGCTTCCGAGAGCATATCACCTAACGAATAAAGTGCAGAATCGTTTTAAAGGAACTGGAAACATCCAAGGAAAAAACACCGTACTGCTCATCTAAGAAGGCTCACAAGGCACTGAGTGAGCGTTAGTCAGGGTTTTCCGAGAACTTCTGCCAGAAAGAGACAAGTTCTCTAAACTGCGGCCTGAGTGCCCTTCCCCGAAGTCCGGGCCTGGGCGGTCAACGCCCGCCGCCCGCGAACTCCAAAGCGCCGAGCAACGCCGCGACCCCAGGCTGGCCGCTCGCCCGCCAAGCCCGACGCGGCCTCGAACCGCACAGCCCCGAGGCGGGGTCCCGGGGACGGGGAGATCTGGCCAACGAGGCCGCCGCGGAGCTCCCCCAGGCCCGGGGCGGCATCCGCCCACCTCTCGGGGTCCAGCCCGGCGCTCACCTGCTTCTGCACGTCGGCATCGCTGAGGGCCATGGTGCAAGCGACGGGAGGCAGCGGGTGACCGGCCGAAGCTCAGAACCGACGCGGGCAGCGGGCGAACGGGAGACGAAAGCCGGACGCGCTTCCCACCTCTTCTGTTTCGTGAGCGCAGCTTCCGGTTCCTGCGCAGGTCGCCGGGCAGCCCAGCCAGTGGGGAGAGAGCGGCCCGGAAGTCACGCCCCTCCACGCCCCGCCTCGCCTCCTGTCGCTCACTCGTGACGTCGCGTGATCTCTCCCGGTCTTTTCCCCAGCAGCCCGCTCCGAGGCGCGAGGGAAGGTCTGTTGTCGTGCCCCTGACTTTAACTGAGACTTGTAGCCCTTGCGTTTTTTAAAAAAGTTTACTTTTGCCAACCAGAATTTGTTTTACTTTCCTGGCCCTAATGGAAGCAAATGCGTCAATATTTTACTTATTAACAGGTTTTATTTTTAGAGCAGCTTTACATTTACGGAGAATTGAGCTCAGGTTCCCATATTGTTAGCCTCCTCCCTTTCTGGGGTACATTTGTTATATTTCATTAACCGAGGCTAATGTGTTGACAAAAGCCCACAGTTTAACCAGTTTCCTTAGTTTCCCTCTGTTGCGGAAATTCGGCCTCTGTACACCAGTGCCGGATTATATCTTGGAGACGGAGTTTTGGGTAAAGTAGAAAACAATAGTTTTATTGCTTTGCCAGGCACAGGGGGCCACGGCAGGCTAATGCCCTCAAAACTGTGTCCCACCTGGAGGGGGTGGTGAGGAGTCTTACAGTGTTCCAGGAACAGGGCATGATTAGCTCGTGGAGCTTCTTCTGATTGGTTGCTGGTGAGGTAATCGGGAATCAGCATCATCAACCTTCTAGTTCCAACCGGTCTGAGGCCTGTGTGCTGTGGGCAGCGAGCAGCTAACCTCTCCCACCTGGTGGGGGCTTCAGTGTCTGCAGAACAGCTGGAAGGACCCGGCTGAGAACATTAACTGTATAGCCCTGAGGGAGAGCTAAAGCTCCTTGACTGTGTAATGGCTAACGTATTATTATTTTGGCTTGCTTGACTGTTTGCCTTTCTGCATTTTCCCACTTGTCTGATTAAATGTATTCCTTGACTGAAGTTTTTCTGCAGACAAAGGGCAGGCGGAAGACATGGGTGAGGGTCTATTCTGGGAAGGCCTCACAGGGTCCTGCTTGGTGACACCCCTGATGCCCTTTTCCTGTTACAGGACCCCATCCCGGTTACCACCTTTCATTTAGTTGACGTGTCTCGTAAGTTCTTCTTGGGGGTGACGGTTGCTCAAACTTCCCTCTTCGTTGACCTTGACAGTTTGAGGGATACTGTTAGGTATATTATAGATGCACCTCTGGGGATCTTCACATAATTGGTCAGGGGTTGTGGGTTTTGGGGAGGAAGAGCACAGAGAGAAAGTGCCATTTTCATCACATCACATCAAGGGTTCATGCTGTCAGCCTGGTTTTTGACTGTTGCTGTTGACCGTGATCACTTGGCTGAAGCAGTGCTTGTCAGGTTTCTCCACTGTAAAGTTACTCTTTTTTTCCCCTTTCCATACTTTACTCTTTGGAAAGATGTACTATGTGCTGCCCACACTTAAGGAGTGAGGAGTTACGCTCCACGTTCTTTAGGGTGGACTACCTACAGAATTTATTTGTAATTCTGAATGAGCATGTGAATTTTTCAACATCATTACCAGGATCCACTTACAGAAAATTATTCAGAAAATTAAGGGAGAAATTCGAGCCCACGTTTTATAAAGACAAAATACTTTGAAAACTTATTTTTAGGATAGATTCCTAATAATAGAATTATGGGCCAAAGGGTACACACATTTTTATTACTAGCTTTTTATTTTGAAGAAATTTCAAATATAAGTTGTAAGAATAGTGCGATAAACTCCCATCACCTAGATTCACCAACTATTAATATTTTGCTATATTTGCTTTATCACTTTCATATGTATATATGTATATATGTGTATATATATATATAAAATTGCATGAGTCAATAAATAGTTCAGTGTGTGTTTCATAAGACTAAGGGTGTATATCAGTCAAATTCAGGAAATTTAGTAAGTCCATATTCAAATTTTGCCATATGTTCCATTAGTATTCCTTGTAGCAGTATTTTTTTTTCTGATCCAGGATCCAATCCAACATCACCTATTGTATTAATTACCTTGTCTTTCTAGTCTCCTTCAATACGGAATAGTTCCTCAGACTTGGTCTTTCCTGATACTGACGTTTCTAAAGAGTACGAGTCATTTGAACTGGCCAGTTGTAGAAAGTCCCTCAATTGGGTTTCATCTGATAGTTTCCTCATAATTACATTCAGGTGCTGCATTACAGAAGTACATGTGTGACATCGTGTCCTCAGTGCATTGCATGTCCTTTCAATGGGAATGGCACACCCATTTTTAAGGCTCTTAAATAATACAAATGCCAAATTATTGTCCAGCTGTGCTAGTGGACACTGTTCTTTGTAGCGTATGACAAGTTGGTACACATATTTGAGAAAAGTGGCGGTGTTGGATAAGGGAAGGGTTCAGCCACAAAACAGTAAACCTAACAGGGCGACAGAAATCCATGCATTTGATCGCAATTTGATCGGTAGTCTAATCAACTGAACCAGATGGTAGGCTTGTTTCTCTCATCTAACTAGTTTTTCCACTAATGATTTCATTCTTCATCATCCCAGAAGACAGGCATATGCATGCCTCTAGCAAGCTAGGTCAGGATGAGGTGGTATTCACTCGTTTGGATTACAATCCTTCCTCCCGTTTATTTATTTTTGGCTGCACCGTACAGCATGCAGAATTTCCCCGATCAGGGATCAAACCCATGCCCCCTGCAGTGGAAGCGTGGACTCTTAACCACTGGACCGCCAGGGAAGTCCTCCTTCTGTTTATTTTTACAATGTTCTGCAAATATCTGAGGCTGAAGACTGGGAGCCTCAATCTAATACATGTCTAATCACTTATGAAAACAATGTCTGGAAGAGATGTGATACTATCCAGATCAATGTGCTTTTGCTTCTTTGGAAAACAGTGCTGATTTATCATTATTTTCAGACATTAAAAAATACAGCAAAGTACAAAGAATTCAAATGTCTATGTACCATGTACCACCACCCAGAGTTGACAATGAACATTCGTCACATCTGCCTTAGGACTTCATTTTTTAAATAAGAGTGTTACAGGCACACTTAACATCGCCTTTTGTGCTGCTTCCCTCTCCCCCATGCCAGCGCTCTTACTTTCTGCAGTATTCTGCTGACTCACCGAGGAACAGGCCAGGTGCTGTCTGGTAAGAACGTGGTAAGCTTCAGAGTGAAGCACAACTGAAAAAGTTATTATGAGCCCATGCAAAGATTAACTAGTTAGTAGTTTTCCAAATCCAATTTCCTCCTATACTAGCTTAGGTCTTGTGAAGAAGTTTTACTAAAACAGCTTTTCAGACAAATTCCAAAAATCCCACTCCCAGATAAGCCTATTGACTATGGCTTTACCAAAACTGCCGACCTAAATTCCTTTCAGGTTAGTCACTTAAGGTTTGCGTGCTCCTTGATTTACCTGCTCCCAAGCTAAGGCCTCAGTCTGTGGTTTATCTGGAAACTGAGTCACTAGAATAGATAAGGTAAGGCTTCAGTTTGTCTGCTGGGGAGTGCAGAAACTGGAGGTAGATGAAAATCATGTCTTTGAATGTTGAGGAATTAATTTTTAAAAGAAAAGACAAATGGTGGCAGAAAGCAGTGGAAGTCTAACTTACGTGCTTTGCACTTTTTAGCCTTTTCCAAACAGTTTTCCGCACAGCAGAAAGTAATTTAAAACCTAGCTGGTCTCTAATCACTCCCTAATTTGTAACCCCTGGTGGCTCCTGTGTGCTCTGGAGGAGCTGGCCCTGCCCATTGACCTCATCACTCCTCCCTTTCTCACCAGCTCCAGGCTTTACTGGTTTGTTCTCGAGCTTTTTGCCTGAGATCTTTTCCTGCACTTGCCCCTTGGGTTGTTCTTCTGTCTTTAGGTCTCAACTTAAAATATCCCCTCCTTGGAGAGAGGTTTGCATCAACACCCTGTCACCTTAATCTTCTACTCTTGTCCCTTGTTTGTTTACTTCAGGACATGCCACAATTTTAAACTACTTTGTTTTTTTTCGTTTCATTTCTATGTTCTTATCTGGTTTTCTAACGAAAATGTCAGCTTCACAACAGGGACGTCATGGTTTTTGCCGGCATCCAGCATACTGCCCGGTACATACATAGTAGGCATTCAATAACTGATGAATGAGAATGAGTGGAATTTTAGATTTTATTATCACATTAGGGTGCAGTGTAGGTCTCTGTGTCACTCATACGATCCGTCAGGAAAAAAAACAAACCCAAAACCCATGAACTGCTTGTGATTAAGTTTTGTAAAAGCATTATATATTTTACACCATCTGCTGAAGAGACTATCTCTTTCCTCATTGAATTGTCTCTGTTGAAAATCAGTGGACCATTCTGAACTTTCTATTCTGTTCCATTGGCCCATATGCTATCCTTGTGGTATGTATTCAAAAAATTAAAAAAGGGGGAAAAAGCAAACCCTAAAACTGAAAGCAATCTGAAATTTACTTAACCATATATCAAATTGGCAACCTAACTACACAGAATTATTCCGTATGACTTTGTCTTTGGAATTTACATACAATGAACTGCATAGACCTACAAAGTACAATTAGATGAGTTCCGACACCTGTGTGATCACCACAATAGACTAATTCCATCACACTAGAGAGAAAGCTCTTTTCTAGTCAATCCCACATTCCCAGTCGACAGTGCTGATTTCTATAACCATTGATTAATTCTGCCTGTTCCTGAAATTCATATAAACCACACAGTAGGTACATTTTTATGTCTGGCTTCTTTGACTCAACGCTTTTGAGATTAATCCATATGGTCACATGTAACAACGGTCAGCTTCTCTTTTATTGCTAATTTCCGTTGTATAATTCAAAAAGTCAACTTTTTAAAAATTAAGACTAGAAGACTGTTAAAAGATTTAACAACCAAATGCAATGCATGATCCTGGTTTAAATCAAAAACTATATGGAATCTAAAAAAAAAAAAAGGTTCTGATGAACCCAGGGGCAGGACGGGAACAAAGACGCAGACGTAGAGAAT